CAGGGTTTTGAAGTGACTGTCCATAATCGCAAATACTACGCTTTCTCAGACTATAAGAAAGAGGGCACAAAAGTGATCAACATTTGCAACCAAACCACAAATGGTTGGTCGCACGACGTGTTGGGCCGCAACTGGGCCTGTTATCAGGGAAAGAGGGTCACCGGACAACACACAGAGAAAGTACACTATCTCGTCGATACCGAAGCGCTCAGTAATGGTGTGTTTAGACAAAATCCCGACACAATCGCCAAAATTAACTCAATCCAGAGCTCATGGACTGCCAAACATTACCCACAGTTTGAGGGAAAGTCACTGAAATATATGCATAACATGCACGGAGGACCTAACTCCAGGATATTTAGGCAAAACTTTTTAATTATACTTTTAAACTCAATGCTAATTATAAAACTCGTGATAAATCTAGTTATCCATCGCCGGCACCGGTAACCGAAGCAGTGCGACAACTGGCCAATGAATTGCCGGAAGCGTTTGATTGGAGGAATGTTAGTGGAGTTAGTTATGTGACACCCGTTAGAGACCAGGGTATGTATGGACTGGTAATTAACATTAAAAGACGTTAATAATATTTTATTGATATATTGAGGTGGTTGTGGCAGTTGTTATGCGTTCGGGTCGTTGGGTATGATCGAGGTAAATTCATATGTCATATTAAAATATCATTGTAAATTATGATATCTAAAATTATTCATTTATTTAAAATACCAGGGGCGGCTAAAAGTGGTGACCAATAATAAACAAACAGTTGACCTCTCGGAACAGGATGTGGTCAGCTGTTCGGCCTATAATCAGGGCTGTGCCGGAGGTTTCCCATACCTGACCGCTGTACGTGTGTCTCACTTAATATTATTTATATAAAAGTTATTAAAAATTATGTTCACTTTTAGGGCAAATACGGACAAGATTTCGGTCTTACTCTTGAAGCCAACAATCCCTATAAGGGAGTGGACTCCAAATGTGGGACCAAACAAGGAGCGGAACGGTATTACACGGCTTACTATAACTATGTGGGCGGGTATTACGGGGGCTGTAATGAGGAGTTGATGCGGATATCACTGGTCAGAGACGGACCCCTCGCCGTGTCCTTCCAGTACGGCATGTTTGACGACTTTGTGTCGTACGGGTCCGGCATTTATAGCCCGACTCCTGTCAAACACGACAACGGAGAGTACAACCCCTTCGTTGAGGTCAACCATTCAGTACTGATTGTCGGTTACGGCGTTGACTCNCCAATTTCTGTGTTCCGTCGCATTTCTCGGTCCTCTCGGCCGACCTCTCGGACTCCGAGAACACCCAAACCCCTCGTATGTCTTCGTACGTACAGTTGGCCGGTGTGTCGGCCCTCACGCCCACCACTAATACTAATGCACACAAACAATAGACTATTTTCAACATTATCTACTAGTTTTTTATATGAATTAAATAAATATTGAACTTTTTAATTTATATACTGTACTGTATTTTGGTAATAGTTGCGATAGCAGTTATAAGTGTATTAATAATGTTAAGTACTGATTATAATATTAAATTCTTACAATCGTATCTGAAGTAAATGATATGATAATAATTATAAAGCTTATTTTGTTAATAATTTCAGACAAACCCTGAAATAATTTTTTATAACACAATGTAATTAAATCCTAACTCAGACCTCAGAGTATCCAACACCTGATTTAAAATAAATAAATGGTGAAATAAATTTGTGTCTGTTAAATTTATTTATTAAAGATTATTGAGAATTTATTGAAATTATTACAATAAAATATATGCATAACAAATTGATATTGGTCATATAAAATGGTAATTCTTAAAAATAATAATCAAATCATTACACTACAGAATATTTTGTTTAATCGATAGGATTACTTCAAAGTTAATAATTAATGCACTTATTTAGTTCATAATTAAAGTAATCACAATTTTCAAATTGTTAATAAGATTCTACTACAATTCAAGCATTATAAAAATGATTTTAATTAAACAAATGTATCAAACATAATAATATATTTTCTAATATTCAATATCTCTTAAGGAATAGGAATGGCTTCGACGGCAATGCTCTCTATATTACACTCATTACTGCCGCGACTGATGCGGAAGTACCCACTTTCCCCCCATCCCGTTCCCCAACTATTCTTAACAATCCAGTACTTCTGTCCATTTTCGACACCATACCCCACGGCCAGCACCGCATGATTGGTGATCTCAAAGGGTTCAAACTGGAGACCATGTGTGACACCCGTGTGCTTATATATGCCGCCCGCGTATGACATGAAGTCGTCGTACACTTCAAAGGACACGGAAATGGGTCCCTTGCGTACCAGTGCTAACCGCATCGCCTCCTCATTACAAGCGCCGTAATAGCCGCCCACGTAGTCGTAGTGTGCGGTGTAATAGCGTCGACACTTTTTCTCGTGGCACTGGTCACCGGCACCTGTGTATGGGAAACACGACTCCGGTATTAAACCAAAGTCTTGCGCATATTTGCCCTGACACATTTATTACAGATTTTTAAAAACTTAAAATTACAAGTATAATTAAAATAATTTTATATTTACTGCAATAAGATATGGGAAACCGCCGTCACATCCCTGGGCATACTCTGAACAACTGACCACATCTTGCGGCGACAGTATTTCCTGAACCGTATTATTGGATTGAACTCGGAGCCTGGCCTATTATTTGGTTATATATATGGTTATGTAAGGTTAAGTTAGGTTAGGTTAGTAAGCGTCCAGTTGGTGTCACATATACCTCAATCATACCCATCGATGAAAACGCGTAACAACTGCCACACGAGCCTACAGTATATTGCAATACAATATAATTGCCATTAATAATCATTTGTGTCAACAACCCATACCCTGGTTCCTGACGGGCGACACATAATTAACTCCACTAATGTTTCTCCAATCAAAGTGGTCGGGCAGTTGTAGGGCATCCCTCCAATCTTTATCAGTTACGGCTGCTGGTGCTGGAGGACTGCAATAAACAGTAGATTTTGATTAAAAATTATTACAATATTTATTTTAATAATTCATTTAAAATGTCTCAAAATCTGTAATACCTTAAGATTCTCGATTTGGGTCCACCTTTCATATTATGGATATCTCTCAAAGGCTTTCCCTCTAAATGTGGGTAATGTTTGGCTGTCCATAGACTTTGAATTGAGTTAATTTGCTGAATAGAGTGCGGGTTCTGTCGATACACACCGACAGGACCTCCAAGTTTAGTGGTGTATGTCTTGGGCTCATGACTACCACTGATCCGGAGTCCCGTAAAACAGGCCCAGTTATGTCCCAACACGTCGTGCGACCACCCGGGTCTGGTTTGGTGACACAAACTGCTCACATTTGTGCCATTTTGGCGGTAATCAGAAAACGCAAAATATTTGCGATAATTAATGACAACTTCGAAGCCCTGGTTATAAATTATTGTCCAAATTCCTGGTCAGTTCAGCCAATAAAAGTCATTTAGTATTCAATATTACAATATTTTATCACTTGTTTAGTACATAAGTTAATCATCAGTTTAATGATAAGAGTGTAAAACGCACTGACGTTTCATTTGCATCCAGTATTTTTAAATCAATTTAATTAATTAATTAAATGAGCAAAAAGTTTATATTTATAGAAACTTTTTGATTTTATGAAATACTGTATTATACATACATCGAAAAAATGTCAATTGAATGAACAAACCTTTGTTACCGAAGTTGTCGACAGCAATGTTAGGAAACAACAACTCAAACCTCACTTTATTGAGCAAAACCTGCGATCCGTTGCAGACCTCTGAGCGTTCGGCAGACGCTTCCGACTCCGAGAACTCCCAAACCCCTCGTATGTCTTCATACGTACAGTTAGCCGGTGTGTCGGCCCTTAACTGCTGGACACAAACCACAGCTAATATTACTGACAAATATTGTATTGATTTCCACATTTTGCTGCCAAAACCAAATCTAATGACACGAACAATGATTTCTATTTATGAGCAAACTCTTTAACTTTTAGCAAATGTGTTATCAATAGCTGAATAAACATGAGTGGAGTATAAGTCTTAAACATCCATCACTTTATAAACAGTGATCATATNTAGCTGAATAAACATGAGTGGAGTATAAGTCTTAAACATCCATCACTTTATAAACAGTGATCATATGGTGACACTTGTTTCAAATTGAATTATTAGTTCATTTTCTAGTAATCGTCTGTTGCTATCAGTCATATCATTGATGTTTAAAGTTTTGTTTAAGTAATTCAAACATAAACTTCACAATTATTAGATTGATATACAGTATCTGTATTACCGTAATGTATTTACTGAACTCAAAAGTTTAATTAGAAAATAAAATTTAAACGATATTTAAATTTATGTCTTAAAAATAAAATATCAAATTAATTTATTATAAATTTTTAAAGCTAAAAAATCTTCATTGCTTTACATATTTCTTTTTATTTCATTTATAAAACTCCGTAACATTTGTCCATACCAAATGCATTACCAAGTACAATACTATAAATTACTAATAATACAGTATAATCACGAGATATTTGCAATAAATAAGTAGTAAACAATTAAATCTAAATTAAATGTTTTAAATGAAAAATAAATTACTAATACAGCGATGAAACGGTTGTAGACAGAAATGAATGTAAAAGACAGTGAAGAATGTGATACCATTGACAGCAATGCCATCAACACCTCAACCCCTATCAGGACATCAATTGTGTTGAATATCGATGTATTGATTCATGTGATGTCATATCTGGACACAACTGATTTGATACGATTGG